AATTAACGAAATACTATATATAGTATTTATATATAGTATCTACTCTCGCGATCGACGAGAGTGCCGTCTCTTTGTCGTCATCGTGATCTTTTTTCTCTTTTCTTTCTTTATTTATTTATTTATATTTTTCCATTAATTTCATCTTTTACTAACCTTTTTATTTTTCTGTAGATTTCATTCAGCTGTCTTTTTATTTTTCCGTAGGTTTCATTGGACACGACGAGCTTTCTCGAAGAAAAATATTTCTCCTTCTTATCTTGCCTTCTTCAATCTTTTATTTTCTTTAATTAACATTTTTCTTTATTTTCCTCGTTCTTTCTTTTTCTTTCTCTTTGTTTGGTTTATATCGGGTACGTGCCAAAGTTTTTCGAAGAAAAATTTCTGTAGCGACAGTTCTGTGAGCAGCGACTTGGAAATATGGAAATATTCGTTGGGTTGGGGATTTTGAGGTTAGTTTGAATTGGTATTTGAAGTTTTGAAGTTGATCTAAATGTGAAAGAAATTTTTCTCAGGTGTTCTGTGCAATGTTCTTTTGCTTTATTGCTTAAAATAGGTTTAGAAGCTGTTTTAATAGTTTTAGATTCAATATTGATTAGATTTGTGATACTGCATGAAGATTTCGAGGAGTCAGTTTATGAAATTAATATCGATGTTATATTTTGATGGTGAAATTTTGTGGAAATGTTTAATTCTGTACTTGTGACATTTTTCTATTTTCTATTCGTGGCACGTGTCGAAGTATTTCTTCAGAGAAACTTTGAGACACCCTGTATACTTTACGCAACGAAGCTAAGAATTCATAATTATTTTCATTCGTTAATACAGTAATTAATTTACGAAGAAAGGAAGCTTGCAAATTGATTTATTTATTTTTTTAAATTATTTCCTTTGTCTTAAAATACCACATAAAATATTTTCAGTGACCATTTTGCTTCGTCATTTGCAATAATTAATTTGCAGAAAAGTAGTTTTCCAAATTTATTGATATATTTATTGAAATTATTTCTTTTATCTTAAAATACCATATAAAATATTTTCAGTCGTCATTTTACTTCATCATTTGCAATATCCTGTATACTGTATGCAACGATGCTAAGAATTCTTAATTATTTTTTCTTTTTAAAGTATCGAATATTTTTATTCGTTAATACACTAATTAATTTACGAAGAAAGGAAGCTTGCAAATTTATTTATTTTTTTAAATTATTTCTTTTGGCTTAAAATACCATATAAAATATTTTCAGTGACCATTTTACTTCATCATTTTCAATACTTAATTTGCAAAAAAGTAGTTTTCCAAATTTATTTATTTCTTCATTTATTCTTTATAAATTTATGATCTCGTTTGACATCCAACTCTCTGCCAAACCAATTAATCTCTTTTCATTTCGAAGACCATGTTTTAAGCATAGGTAAGTCTCCGTTCGAAACCAAAACGAAGAAACTTCAATAAAAATTTACAAAAGATTTATTCAGTCGACTCCTTCAATTTTACCTTCGACGTCAATTTCTCAAAAAAAAAAGAAAATCCACGTTCTCATTGGCGCTCCGAGCAAGGTGCAGCCTTTCTTTATTTTTTATCCTCGCGAGAGGTGACGAATAAAATCGCGAAGGTGCTTGTGTGTGTGCGTGAAATCGTTTTTGACAACCAACTCGTCGAATCTCGTACCTCTCGTAAATGAATTAATTACTCGAACGAAATCGGATAGGAAGCACGCAAGAAAAAGGTGAGGAACATAAACGATCGTGTTACCAGCTCGTGATACGCTTTTTGTTTAATGACAGAGAAAGAGAAAGCTCCTTTTGTCTGACGTAATGGCGGCTTCCACGAAGACAAAGCGCCACCTACGAAGTACTGACGCGGGGTACAGCATTATTTCAGTAGGCGATACCCCTTTGAACCTGCCTCTCTTCTCGCTCCAACACTTTTCAGCCCTTTGTTCAACCCTTTGCCACGTTCTAGTAAATTTTCGAATCGATTTTCATTCGTAATTTTCGAATTTATCAATTCAGCAACGAAACTTAAATATAATATCACGAATTTTATTATTTCGAGAGATAGAGATAGAGAGAGAGTTGATTATTTTTAATACCGTGTAATATACATTTGTTTAATAATTATTTTATGCTAATATATATCTCGACACCAATAATAATTAATTAAAAAATATTGAAAAATTGGGAATTTTTATTTTATATCGCATTGTAGGTTTAATTAATAATTATTTTGGAGTAGTGTATGTTTTAATATTAATAGTGAAATAATGAATAACTATACTATAGATTCTGATGCTACTATAATAATATTTTTGTGATATTAATTTAATTCCATAATTATTATTATTTTTATCGATAGTACTAGCCTTGTTTCTGAAGGTATCCCTTGATATTAACAAATTTCACGTCAAAGAATAACTATACTATAGATTCTGATACTATTATAATAATATTTTTGTGATATTAATTTAATTCCATAATTATTATTATTTTTATCAATAGTACTGGGCTTGTTGCTTCTTAAGGTTTCCCTTGATATTAACAAATTTCACGTCAAAGGGTTGAAAACGAAAAGTACTTCACCTCGAAGTACACCCGTACAACTTGTACATATAACATCGTACTGCTTTTAACATTTTTATCTCCTTTCTAAAGTATTCGTGCCCCAAGGTGTTTGTTCTCATTGACCAGCGATCGAACTCGATCGAGTATCTTCGTCTCAGGTGGACAAATATTGATCGAAGGTTCGATCAACGTCGAGGTATCCTTATCAGTCATCCTTTTGGTGAATACGTTGCTATTTTTCCTCAACATTGCAACTAGCTTCTAACCATACTTTACAAAATTTATTCATATCTATATAAATATTTGTACACTTAATCCTGTATTTTATTTTATATTATTCGAAGCTGGTCTCAATGCAGGAACAAAGTCTGGAAAAATTTTCCAAAAGGATCCGAATTTTTGATAATGCAATAAGACCTCGATTATTCGAAGTGACATAGACATAGGCTCACGTTTAAATTTAAATTTACTAATTAAATTCAATTAATTTGACTAATTACGATTTTAAGACGGGAAGACGTTTTTAAGTGACGAATAATTTAGGTATGAAAATTTTTCAAGTGACCTGGGACGACCTTGATTGTTGTTAAATAATTTTAGATGAGTTTGAATAAATATCGAATGCTCCTTAATGACGTTTACTGACCTTGAATGAACTATCGATGACCTTGAGTGACGTTGGGTAACTCTGATTGACTGTGGACGAACTTAGGTAACCCTAAATGACGTTCTTGACTCACTTTTGATGAACTTGAGTGACCCTAAATGACCCCCAGCGACCTTGAATAACGTTGTATGACTTTGTACGTTGTAACGTGATATTATTCGGACAATGGAATAATGTGATAACTGGTGTTCGTGTAATCGAGGTCTTGCCATATTAATTTGGCCATTGTTAAATGGACAGACTGACATAATGTATATCATACTTGTTCACCTCAGCACGTCGACAGTATATACGCTAGTCACCAAGTATTATTAATAGTATTTGCAGCGTATCATGATCGTCAGCACGGACACGTGCAGTTGTGTGATCGCAGAATTACCTCTGCGAAATTTTGGGTTTATGAAAGTTTATATTCGAGGCTTGGATATTTTCGACATTTTTAAATATTTGAATAATAAAAAGAAAAAGAATATTCCACGAATATTTAGGTTTTCTTAAACAAATCTTATTAGAATGGTAAAATAAATTACCACGAATCACTAAAATCATGATTAATTATTTTTACGATTAAATTTTAATTCATGTTTTAGTATTAATTATTGAGCACTTATTTACTGCCTTGAAATTAATAGAAAATTTGGAGAAAGGTATTTTTCGTGTAATTTCAGGATACTATTGATAATTATTTCTTTTTTCCAAACGAATTGGTGTCTTGTCTTGCGATTACTAAGAATTAATCGGTTTTTGTTATTACCTCACTATCTTCTTGTTGAAAAGAGAAAGGACCAAAATAACGTAGTGAAAATAGCAATGTAAATAGTAGTTAGAGATTGTTCCATAAGTGTTTTAAAATTGTTGCTTTACTCTGACTCTCTTCATACTGCGTTAATACCCGAAACTGTCTGTATTATAATTTCCAGATCTACTGCTCGTTGACTTCGTATTCTCTGCTTTCGACTCGAGATGCTGCCAATGATTGTGCATTAATTATTATTAACAATCGAGCCATTATTGGAAACTCAATTATTCCCCACTGTCTGATCAAGAACGATCTAATTCTACTGAATATTTTATAAATATTCCCGCTTGACATAATTCGAAGGGTACATGCGAAATAAAAATTTCTTCTGTAAATATTGCATGAAAAATATGAACAAAAATTCCAAAATTCCAAAAATGAAAAAGCAATTAAAATATATAATTATTACAATAACAAAGTAATTGTAATAAAATATAGAATATAAAATATCAAATTCATTTAAATTCTCTTTATTGTCTGCATGTAAATTAGGAATAATTAAAATTATTAACCTATGATATTAATAATTATTTGTTAAAAACAAGAAATATTTAAGAATATATATATTAAAAAACGTATTAATTTTACCTGTTCGTATTTTCTTTTAATTAATATCGATTTATGTAAATTTTGAGGTATAATTGTTATCAATTTGCAATTTGTTATTCTCTAAAGCTATATATACACAACTGTGAAATCGATGACGAGCAATTATTGGTAGCAGCTCGACACCCAAACTTCTCTCTCGTTTCACCCAGAAATGAACACGAGTTTCGAGCTAGCTGAACTGTATCTGTACCATTTATCGAAGTAGCACTTGTCTCGAACCGCTTCTCTGATTTCCCGCGCGTTCGTCCCCCTATTTCGAATCCGCGATAGAGGACCGCCTACTTCCGCCCTCTGACGATAGTATTAATTGTCTGATTGTTTTCTCGCTTCTTTTGTATGTCCCGATGGCCGATCCCACGGCAGAGGGTGCCGCCGATTTGCCCCGTGAGACGCAGCAAAAGCTTCCCCAACGAAAGCGAAACGACAGATCACGCAGCCGAGCTCGAGGACTTCCTCTCCTCCAGATCAGGTATTTCTCCGGGTCATCGACAGATGGAAAATAAAATCGCGAATTTTTCTCTTAGTTCCACTCCCTACCGAGCAACAATACAGAATAATTACAGAAATTTAACCACTTGCGCTGGAAAGACGTGTCACGCACGTCGTAATGCTTTTGTCACAGAATCGTCAACGACGTGGTGCACACGTCGTTAGGTAATTCTTACCGAAACACTGGACCATTCTGACACACGCCTCTGTGAATTTCTTACCACCGCAAGTGGTTAATAATTTTTATTTACTTTAATTTCTTTTTTTAATTTAAAAAAATTTTTTAAATTTAATTTTTATTTATTTAGGAAATAATTATTTATTCTGGTAATTAAATTGTTTGATTTATATTTCTAATCAAGGTTATGGATTATTGTTATTAAATATAATTAAGAACTTATTTAATTTGTTTGATGACAGATAATTATTTTTTAAATATTTTTCTCTTGATTTATATTTGGATTATTTTCAACCCTTCGTTTTCATTTCTTCCTAGCATCGAGTCGGTGAAAATTGGTTTATGAGTAGTCTATTATTAGCTGTCTTTGTACACTCGTGTTATTTGCATATTTTAGCATAGTCTAGGTGTCTATCGAAAATTTCTTGACGCGCGGAAACGTGTCAAGCGTGAACATCTTATCTAGCGTTTGTTTCACTGAATGCATTACGTGTCAATGCATGAAGTTCCCGATAATAGTTAGAACATTAGTTTCAATTAGTCACTTTGGTTCATTTACTTTTCGAGGACACTTGTTTCAAAAATAAACTCAAGATAGTGTCACTGGGTGAGTCATAACAATAATATACAACTCAAGCAATAACATTTCGTTTAAACACCATAATGCACCATAAATAAAAGTACACTTGGGATTCTTATGACACTATACCTTGACAGTTGCTAGATTCATCAAATTTTTTACAGTATCACGATAGGTCATTTTATTGATTTAATAACAGATCACAGTAGGTTCGATGTCAACGAAAGAATTGAAAAGAATTTATCAAAATTCCTAAAAGAATTCGAAGATAAGAAAAATCGCAAGTTTGCTCCGTTTAATCAGCCTTGCTTTCCTTTTTCAGGCGTGACAGAGCTCTCTATGGACAAGCCGGAGTCCGAAGAAGAAGAGGACCACTGGAAGGACGCATCTCCTGTCACGCCCACCTGCAGTCCAACGAAACATCCACCCAAGCCTCCTCAGGCAGACAAACCTGTAAAAACCGTGGAAGTCGAGGTACACGACTTCCAGCCGACCAGTCCTCTGGAAGGAAAAGACGTCATCATAATTGACAGCGGTGCCACACCGCCTAGCAAGAAGATGGCGATGAAGTACAACCAAGAAGTGACCACTGGCGTGGAGAAAGTAGCCCCTAAGGTGAAATTAAAGAGAGAACCAGTGATAGAAGTGGGCGAGTCATCGCAGAAAGTGCCTGAAACCACGAGTCAGCCATCGACGTCCACTGAGAAGCGTGCAGACTCTGACAAGAGAAGAACCCTCAGGCGAATGGACTCGGAGGAACGCATGTCCGTGTCGAAAGAGGCAGTGAGCAAGGGTGACATGGCCGAGAAGGGTGCTAAGAAGAAGATCTTGAAGAGGAAGGAGCACGATCGAAGATCCTCTAGGAGAAAAATAGACGAAGAGGAAGAACCGTTCGAAGAAGCTTCCAGAATGGAGTTCGAAGACTCCAGAAGAAGAAAGGACATGGAAGACGCACCGATCAGGTCCAGGGAAGAGAGGAAGAGCCTCAGGGAACAGGAGTGTATCGAAAGAGTGACGGAATTCCTGACGAAGCACAGTGTGCTGACCTATTCTGACATGGCTCTTGGCATCGAGCAGGACCTGGACATGCAACAGCCTCTGGATATCAAGGAACAACGAATCACACGTCCATCTAGTCTTATAGAGCCTCAGGAGGAACCCCTTCAAGCTGTCTTAAAGGAAGAACCAGTAGCAAGAACGAAAAGAGAGCCTATAAAGAGGTCAGAGGAGCTTGTCAAGACACCCTCTTCGGTGGAATCAGAGAAGTATGTACCTGCAGCAGTTAAGATGACTGTTGTGACGCCAGACAAGCCTCCAGGTGGCAGTGAAGAGGTTAAAACGTCAGTGACGAGTCCAGAGATAGAGGTCCCCACGACCAAACGCAGGAGTTCGATGAGAAAGAGACCTGGAGCCTTCTCTAGGGAGTCTTCCAGGGAATCCTTGCTGGATGACACGAAGAAGGAAGTCAGGATACAGGAGAACGTCGAGGAAATCTTCTTTGAAGACACCAGTGAACAGATCTCCGGAGTCCTACCCGAGGTGCAGCTGGTGAAGGCTAGAATCATCACTGCTGAGGAAGCAGCTGCCAATAGGGTAGAGGAACCGATGAAAATCGAGATTCACTCGCCACCAGAGGTAGTAGTAGTCTCTGATTCTGTTAGAGTAAAGACTGGAAGGGTTCCTTCTCCGGAAACCGTGGACATGTCTCAGCTGCACTCGCTCAGTCTAGCCAAGTCCACGTCCGAGAATACTTTAGTTGACACCGGTGACAGGATCGGTGAGAAGAATAAGATTTCCGAGAGGAACCTCAAGGCTGAGATCCTCTTGGACTTGTCCAAGGTCTCGGACATGGGTGACGACGAGGAATCCATCGATGGAGAGAAGAAGGAGAAGAGACTGACCAGGACTGGCAGCGAGGGCTCGAAGAGGCCCGGATCGAAGGGCCAGATCAGGGCGAAGGAACGAAGTGAGTTTAAGATTGGAAGCCTGGCGCAACCGGATGAACCGGAACTGACCATCCTGTTGGAGAACGCGGGGGTAGAGAGGAGGAGGAACGTTGACGATGACAGGGATAGCTTGGTGGATTATGGCGTGGAGAAAGTGATCAGAAGGTGAGTGATTTTTTAACAAATTTTGACAGAATATTGCATCTAATTTAGGACTCAGTACTCGAAGATTAATCCATGATTACTCGTGTCACCTTATGAGACGTAGACATGAACTTAATAAAAAATAATATTTATTTATAATAAAATAATACTTATTTTTGATATAGGAAATTCTAAACATTTTATTTCTCGTTGTGGAAATTAAAAATGGCGGATGTCTGTTATACTCTCGTGAATAATCTTGGATTAATATTTTCGAAAACTATTTGAATCAACTTAATACTGAAAATTTTATTTTCAATTTTTAATTCGTCTTTATTATTGGAAAATTTTATGTACTTAAAGAATTTCTTTCCAGATAGATTTTTTGTCTGTATAAAAATATATATTAT